TCATTCTTTTTTGATTTATATTTACATTGACCAATAAAGTTAAAATCTCCATGAAGACCATAAAAATCTATTCCACCATCTCCTGTTGTAATAAACATAAAACTGAAAAAAAATAAGTGAGAATTAATAATATTATCATCGATTTTAGTCAATGTCCAATTTTGAGCTTTAAATCTGGTCGATTTATTGCTCGCCTCTTTCAGACTGAGTTCATTATCTTATTCAAAATGACCAGGTCTTAGTCGATCCCTACTGAATACTTGTAGAACCCTTATTCAAGAGCCTACACCATACCCAGCATCTCAGCACTGAGTCAAAATCTTAAACATTATTTTACTCTCCCCCCCCTTGAAGAATAAATTCTCACCTCTCATTATTATATCCCGTTCGTATTCCATATGCTTCATATCCCAATTGTTTAAATTTTTCTATACATTTTAACTCATAAATATTTCCTAATTCTTGTGGTGATAATATTTGATCGGAAGAAATTATTGAAGTAATTTCATCAGTTGAATTAACTTTTCTTTTTTTTAATAAAGAATTACGAAAATCGTATGGTTTATTCATTTTCATATAAAAATAATCAAAAAAAATTTATATTTTATTGATGATTTTTATTTATTTCTTAAAAGATAAATAAAAATTTTATTTCCTAATTAATCAAACGTTTCACAACATAAATTAAAATTAAATTAAAAATAGTTTGTTGTTTTTGATTAACTAAACTAAAAAAAAAATTATACTATATCATTCTTATATTATCATAATAAAGTAAATTATTACTAAAAATATCATCTAAATTGATAATATTCACAAAAATCATTGATATAATCTATCAATTTGATTTATTATAAACGTTCTTTAATTATTAAAAAAAATTATATTGTTGATTATTAACCGATATTTCTATATTTTCAATTCATTTTTAATTTTTTCATTATCTAATCCATATTCTACCATTTGATAAATTATATAATAAAAATTTAGTTAAACCATCATAACTACCATTTTTA